GCTGCAGCCCCGTGCCCTCCACATCTCCTGCTCCCTGGACCTGTTGGAGGCACGCATGCAGCGGCACGGCTCCTCTCTCGTGCCTGCCTCATGTGTGTTTAAGGTGTTCACTTGACCCATGATTTCACTCGCAATAGAGGTGCTACCGCCGAGCTCTGCCTGAGTATCCTGTATTGGGGTGCTCCCCCCGGTTCCCAGCTCCCACACGTGACAGCGATGCTGCTGCCAGCGCGTTCAGGGCAGTGCGAGAGCACAGGGCTGACTCCTGCGGGTATCAAACATGTCACCTGAGTGACGGGCTTTCAGGCAACCAATTCAAGGCTCTTCACCAACAGCAAAAAAAGGGCCTTGATCTACTTTATTTTATTGAGCACTGTGTTCCTGTGCTCAGGGAGGTATCTGAAAATGTTTAGCTTTAATGAGGGGCTGATCCAGTCCTTTCTCAGCCAACTCCATGCATTTAAAAATCATCAATCATGAGAATGGCTTGGAAAAAAAATTCTGATGCACGTTGTTTGCTCATGCAGTAGCGCCCAGTTTCTCCTTCAGCTGCTGCGTGTGCTTGCGCTGAAATGAGCTGTGATCTGTTGCTCACTGCTGGTTCAGGAATATGGTTGTCAAATCACATGCCATTTATGTGTGCAGATGTGGCAGTATGCCTTGAGGACAGGGGTGAGTTGTCTTCTATTTTGTTTGTTTTTTTTTTTTTTAAAAAAAACCCATATTCATCTGTGGATGGCACAGTATTTATTTACTGCCCCGCAAGAGCAGGCAAAGCCCAGGACCCGCCACGTCAGAGGCTGCAATAAACGTGATCCTCAAATAACCACGTTTCCAGGGTAGCAGGGCTTTAGAGGGAACAGCAAATATTGTGAGACTGGCAATCAAATTGCAAGAGTTGATTTCCCTGTATTCTTAGGGAAAAATAATTCCGATTTATTTGGATTCATTCATTCATTATTTAGATGTTTTCTGCTTAGTGAATCAGGGAGAAATGACATTTTGCAGAAAAAAAAAAACCAGAAAATTATAGCAGAGGTGCTTTGAGTCATTTCTGCTGGAGATGAGAATTGCAGGTTGCTGCTTAAAAAGTGACCTTTTGATTTTTACTATCACCCAGAGGCGGCTGGGCAGGATTTGGGAGGGGGTGAGAGCCCTGGCAGCACTCCCTGCTGGCAGCTCACCCGCCCTTGGTGGCCATGTCCCAACATGCTGAAACAAGAACTGGCTTAAAAACCAGGATTTTCAGTACACAGAACATGTCTTATCCATGTCAATCGAGGAACATTGTGGTACATGAGCCTTGTGTCACCACTTTTTTGGCACAGCCATTGCAGAGGTAAAAAAGCCAACAAAAGCTGCAGACTGGGCCATGTTCATTCTGCGCTTTGCTGCCTGCCAGAGGTTCGTCACGTCCTCCCTATCAAACTGAATTAATGATTTGTATTCGAGCAGAGCACCAGATGATCACAGTAAATAATTCTCTTTGTAAGCAATGTTTTACTGCATGAGCAGTGAGATTTATTGTTTTTTCTTTTTTCCCCCCAAGAGGTGACTGAAAAGCATCCTTGACTTTAATTTTATTTTCAGCACTTGCCGGGGCCGGGGGAGCGGGCGAGCGGCTGCCTTGTCCCGGCTGCCTTTTCTGCTGCTTGTGGAGAGGCTTTCCCCCAGGCAGGATCGGGGAGCTCCCTCTGCCATTCAGCCTTTTGCCCCTGCACCCCTAAATCTGCCCCGGTATCACATTCGCCTGGGTGGGGAGGACGGTCAGCTGGTGACGATGGTGGCATGATGCTGGGGAAATCCTGGTCCAGGGTGAGCGGAGGAGGTGTGGGGCTGGCAGGAGGAGGCATGAGTTACAGGGGGAGAATTTGGGCTTTCATTTCTGGGAGGCTGAGAAGAGGCAGGGCCTGGTCTGTCCCTGGGGCTGCAGACCCAGCAGTGATGCAGCCAGCGCCATGCCGTGCCCTCCCGTGCATCCCGGCAGCGAGTGGAGACCCAGGCACTGCTATGGCCAGGCTCGGTCCCATCGGCAGAGCGGATGAAGCTCATGGCTGGGTAAAAGCAAAGAGGCAGAATTTAATCCAGGATATAATATACTGTAATAATGTTTTCAGTGCTTTGATTCACATTTTTTTTTTCTTTTTTATTTTCTTATTCTAAGCAGCCTGAACTGAGGTGCCTCCAAGCTGCCCCATCCTGGGTCAGGCCTTTCCTGCAGCAGCCGAGCTGGCCGAGAGCAGCAGGGCTCCTGAGGGCACACTGGAGCCAGGCTCACCCTGCACAGACAGGCCCAGACAAGCTCCGTACCTAGATGAGCACATCTTTATTTTCAGTTCCACGAATACACATCTAAACTGTCCAGGTCTCGCCTGGACACGTCACCTAAACCGCTGCTCCTTTCCAGTTGCCCTTCTCGCCTCGCCGTGGGACGTGCGTTCCCTCTGCACGCTTGTGCGAGGCCGTTAGAGGGCATTTGGGTTTCATTTTTCAATCACCCAGAAGGATTATCGCTGTGAGAAAGTAAAGACAGAGCTGCCGAGCAGCGTCTCTGCACCGACTCTTGCATAGCTGGAGCAGCTCCAGCCCGTCAGGAGACGGCCCCGACTCATCTTTGTGATTTGTTTTCTCTTTTTCCTGCTTTTCTTTTGGCCTTGGCTCGCAGGGTATGTGCTTGGATGGCAGGCGGTATGTCTGGTGCTGCGGAGCGGTGTCTCCTGCGTCTGAGCTCCTCGCTCGCCGAAGCCCTGCCAAACCGCCAGCGCTTTGGAGAGGAGGAGGCCAGGCGGAGCAGGAAGGTTCATATTTATTCTGGAGAGATGCGGGGAAGGTGAATTAGAGCTGCCATCAGGAGGACGCCTCTGCCCATGCCCAGGAAGGCGGCTGCTGGGTTGCAGGGTGGATATCGTGAGATGGCTGAGCTCATGCATGGTTGCACTGCACAGCCTGGTGCGGCGGTGACTTGTGGTGCGTGGCCTGATGTGCCTACTCCTATCCTGGTGGGCCGGGGTGTGAGGGGTCTCCCCAGAGATGTGGGCATCCCGCTGCTGGAGGTGGTCTCTCTCGCAGCCCCCGCAGAGCAGAGTTGCGTGCGTGATGTGGCGGAGCAGCAGCATCACCTCTCCCAAAGCCCCACTGATCCGGGAAAAGACCAATTCCTGGTTTCTCGGATGGGTTCATACTCATGGCAGGGTTTCCCCATTTCCCATTTCATTCAGCCTAAGAAACTCAGGGATGCTGCCCAGTAACCCTGCCTGGGGCAGCGGGTGCACAGAGGGGGCAGGTGCTGCGTGATGTGGGGATCTTGTTCTCTATTTCCACCCTCCTTTGCAGCCAAAGTCCATCAGTTCTTCCCCAGTTTCCCAAGGGACGCGTCCTCCATCTCCACCGAAACCACAGTGCCAGACTGGCTTGTGCCAGACTCTTTGCCGGGATGAGGCGTTGGCTCCAGGATGCGACCGGGGTGGGCACAGCTACAAACGACTTCCTCTTCCCCTCTGGAAAGGCAGAGCGGAGAAGTGATGGGGAGATGGAGCGGGGCGGTGGCGTGTCCCCCACGTCTAGGGAGCAGGGCCACTTGGCAGTGTGGGTGCCTGGCCCTGGAAAGCACCGGCTGCGTGTGAGCAAGGCAGTTTTGCACCATGGCTGCACTGGGGCTGTGCCAGGCTAATTAAAGGGGTGGCAAAGCCCTGCTTCTTGGGTGTACCTAGGGAGCCAGGCAGGAGCTGCAAATGCATCTCCAGCCATAGGGGCAGGTCAAGCCCACCTGCAGGGCTCAGGATTATGTGGGATCCACAGTGCTCTTGGATTCAGACATCCAGAGACCCCAAAATTCAGGTCTGTACCTGCCATCAGGTGTTTTCCAAGTGCAGTTTCAGGAGATAGTTTATCAGTCAGGTTGTGTCTGGGGAGGGGTGATGGGGTGCCCACAGGTAATTGGGGATCCCATGGCTCCTGTTGGCTGGCATTTCCCTTTCTCGGACCAACCTTTTGCCCAGAGGTGCCCGCTTCACCGAGGCCCTCACTTACCGCCGGGGATGCTGCTGGCAGAGCCGGGCAGGGTCTGGCCATGCAGAGCCGCCTCTGAGTCTCCAGCCTGCAGTAGCGATTCTGGTTGGAGACGCGGGTAGAAAAGCCCACGCCGCAGGTGGCCGAGCAGGCGCTCCACTCCGTGCCCCACTCCTGGCAGGGGTACGGCTGCAATGCTGCCCCAGGAGCTGGATGAGAAGAGATGAGGGGAAAAGGGTGGTTGGAGGCAGGCGCTGTGCAGCGTGCCCTCCGGCTCTCCGGACATAGCCCTGCACGGCGGGGAAATGAGGTGTCTCCTGTTGATGTTGATGGTCTGGGGTGAAGGGACCATCCCCAGAGACCTGCGTGGGCATCCCCTCGCTGGCATGTCCTGCATCTTACCTGCCCCAGCATCCCGGAGAAGGTGCTGGTCCCGGGCTTCGCAGATCCACTCTGGGCAGCACTTCCCCGGGACCTCCACGCGCCGTGGGTAGGGGCAGTCCGGGGTGGGCAGCCGGACGTCCTCCTGGCAGAGCGGGACGCAGGTGAAGCCCCCATCCAGGCAGCGGCACTGGAGTTTGCAGCTGGGCTGGAAAACCTCCCCGTCTCGATAGACCCGGCCGTTCACCTCGCAGCCCTCCTCACCATCTTCAACTGCAAGCAACAGCCGGGGAGCCCATTAGGGACAAGGTGACGGTGAGATGTGGATGGCAGAGGGGACTGCTGGGGGGAACCATGGGGCTGGCACGAAGGGACAACCGGGGGGCCACAGAAGTGACTGAGAGGTGTGTGGGGCAGACACGGGTTTGCAGAAGCACGTGCATTGCCCAACCTCCGCCCCTTCCCTACCTCCTCTCCTTCTCATCTCTGTATTTTCAAAGCAACAGCTCACCAGTTGATGAGAAACCCACTGCCCTTCAGCTCTGACCCTGCCTTTCAGGGTTTTCAGGCTAGAAAAACTTTCTCTGAAATTTCTCTGCAGGACCCCCAGTCTCCAGCCCCGGCAGGGTGACTGCAGCATCCTCAGGACCCCTGTGTCCATCCCCACTCAAACCACCCCAAAACCCCAGTTGGCAAATGACACGAGAGCTGGTTGGAGCTGCAGCACAGCCCGTGGCCAAGCTGCCTCCGTCATCCTCGGTAAAGCTGCTTTCGGAGCCTTAACCGCTTCCCTGAAAGTGCTGCGGGATGCCTGGAGCTGGCCAGGGCCCTGGCCAGAGCTGGGGTAGGTGCTGGGCTGGGGGGCACAGGGGCATCCCTGGGGGGAGCGGGCACCCCTGTGCTCACAGTTGCAGGTGGCTCCTGTCCCCGCGGGCACCGTGCTGTAGTCGCAGACGAGGCCCTGGCTCTGGTCGCAGACGTGGAGGAAGTCGCAGGGCTCTCCCAGGCGCCGGGCGCAGATCTTACAGCAGCCGCAGCCATCCAGGACCAGGGGGGACCCTCGGGGGCAGCGGGGTGGCACCCAGGGGCAGTAGCATGGCCTCCGGCACAGCTGGGCACACACCTGCGGAGGCAAAGCCATTGCTGATTCAATACAGGTTGGGTTTTGGCTAACGGCTGCTATTTCACTGCGACAGCCAGATAATTCTCTCTCGATCATGGGGGCAGATTTTTAGTGGAGGGAGACTCTGAAAATTCATGGGAATATGGCAAAGCAGCCTGGAAAGCTGTTGTCCTCTAAAGCCACAGCGTGATGGGCACCCATGGAAACCAGGGAGAATCAGGGATGGTCAGCACTCAGCAGGATGGGAACTTAAACGCACCACTGCTCTGAATACAGAGGAGGAGGATGGAGCTGCAGAGCGAACATCCCAGGTAGTGGTGGTCATTTAATGGGGCTGGCAGCCCCGGAGGCAGCCGCACGCTGCCCTAAGCAGCCTGGCAGGAGGGAGGGGAAAGCAGCCTGCCCCCACGCCTGCTGCTGGGGCAGCGGGTTGTGCCCAGCTGGAGTTGTGGCTTCGCAGGGGCTGAATGCACATGGCGAGGGCACCGCACCTCACCCCGAACAGTCTTAACAGCTCTCGTTCATGCCATAACAGGGCATCGCATTGGCAGTGGGAGAACCGAAGCCAAAGGAACCTCACTGCTTTCCTTCCTGATCCAGCTGCCTCCTCTGCCTCTCCCTGGCTGCAGCATCCTCTGCCTGGCCTGGCCCGCTGGGTGAGGAGCCCTGAGACAGGCACGTTTTCGAGGACTGGGAGCTACATTTCCCCTCCCAGCTAGACTGAGCAATTACTTCGGCAGGGCTGTGCACCGTAGTCATTTGCCTGCTCAGCTGGTTGTTTGCCAGGGCTGTGCCTGCAGGAGTTCACCCAGGCAGGTAGGTGTTTATATCCACGGCTCATTCTGCTTGCACAATTACCCTGGCACAAACAGCTTTTGCAGGCAGCGCTCGTGCTCCCGTCATGTCATATCTGACAGGGCTGTTGCATATAGGGCCTGAAGCCAAGTTATTTGGCTCTGCAGTTTGGATGTGAATTCTTTGCCAGTACTGGCCTAACTGTGCACATGTGTGAGCCCCACGCAGCAGCTCTGAGCCACTCTCCGGCAGCCCTGCTGCTCTGCTTGCCGCACGGCCAGCATGTGCAATGCAGGCGGCAGTTCAGCAAATGTGCAACCAAAAAATTCAGCCCTGTGCTGGTCCAGACATCGGTGTCTCTGCTGAGACTGCTGAGAGATCGAAGGGTTCAGCTGGACCATGTGGATTTTAGATACCATTTTTCTTTCTCTTTTAGTTTCTCCTAATAGCATCAGGTCTGACATGACCAGTTAGACATAGAAGGTGGGTACTGGTGTGCTATCTGTTCCCCATTTGCAGCAGTTCCGATGGTTTTTATGGGCCTGTAGAAATGTCAGTGCCAGGAGATAAAATATATCTGCAATGGGCTGAGCAATCTGGGTCTTGCTCTAGTTTTATCAATGAGCAGCATTATTAGTGTGGCAGAAACCAGAGAGAGACTGGTGGCAGGGACCGAAGGACTGGCTGTGGTGGCCAGGTTTGAGCTGGAGGCACGAGAGCCTTTGGTGATTCTCCAGGCACTCGTGAGCGCCTGGGGCAGGAGCCATTTCTCCATCACAGCTTACCCAGGCAGCCAAGGGCACTTTTCAATTTTCAGGAGGTTGCTATTACAAATCAATGTTTTAGAAAGATTAGCCAAGCCAACTCCATTAATCCTTTTCCCCCAGCTCCTTGTAATTAACTTGTCTTTGGATGACAATGTGGCTCCTATCAGAGATCTTAACTGTCTGGGAAAGGAGTCAAATAGGCGTGACGCTGCCATGATGTCCCTGCTTGCAGAAGGCATGCCTTGGGATTCAAGCAGCAATTAGAAGAACTTGGAGCTGAGATACCCCAAACTTTTCAACTTTCCTGTTCTCTGCACAGGCAACTATTTTCACACAGAGTCCAAGAGGGGGAAAAAAAAAAATCACTACAACAACCCAAATCCTGTCGGAGGCATTGGCTTTGCATGAGCATCCCGGGGAGGGGGGAGAGCTGAGTAATGCCGAGGCTGGTGCTTGCTGCTTGGCCCCCTGCCTCGGGAGCCTGGGCAGGGACCAAGGAGTCTTTAGGAGCCGCTACCGCCAAGCTGCCGCTTGCTCGCAGGGACGCATACCACAGCCCCGGGTGCGGGAAAGCTGCAGGGACCGGGCGAGCAAACAGAGTGCATTGCTGTCATTCCTGTGTGCTCCGTGAACTTGCACAACAGGCATCTTTGGCCCATGGAAGTTAAGACCCTGCTGCTTAATTGCAAATGTCTCTCCCAAGCATAGCTCTGCCCCTGTGGAACTGCATAAATACAGCTGTATGCCAGCCCGTGTTAGCCGCCAGGCTCGTTGTGACACCCCAGTCCTCCCTGCATCTCACTTTGCAAGAACCGGGTGCTTCCCCGACTAAGGCTAAAGCCGCCCCAGGGCCCCGTCTCCCTTACCTTGGAGAGGATGCAGAGGAGGGAGAGGAAGAGGAGCTGCTTCTCCAGCTGGAGCCTCATGCTGCTCTCCCCTCCGCCACTTCAGCACATCACCCCCCAGGCAGTTTGGAGGCAGCGGCGTGTTCGCAGGTTTTAAAGCCCCGAGTAGGTCCTGCTGGTGTTTATACTCTCCCTGCTCTGATGTCACTCACAGGCTCCAATATAAACATGAGTAGGTTTGGACAAGCCTCAACATTTTCCTTTTTTTTTTTTTTTTTCTTTTTTTTTTTCCCGCCCACATTCCAGCTGCCATTTCCACTCCCCTCAAGGTGAGAACGTGCCGTCCACCGAGACAGCGAGCGAAGGGAAGGGACGCTCTCCCCGGGAAGCACAGGAGAGGGGCCGGGGAGCCAAGCTGGTGGGGTGAACTGGCTCCTTGCTGCTAGCCATGACCGGGAGGGAAGGTCCATGCCTCTGCCTGCTGATCAAGGTCTGCCCAGACAGAGCCGGTGTCTTTCTCCTGGGATTTGAAGGGTTTGGCAGGGCTGTCCCTGCTGCCACCCTGGGACATTGCCACGAGCAAGCAGGAACAGGGCACCCACCCCTATATTTTATGCTGAGCGCAGCGCGTGGCAGGCTGTGGGAGAGGGGTGAGTTGCCTGCGCCGTACAGAGCCCTGAAGTCAAGGGCAGGATCCTGTCCCTCCATCGCTGGGGACAGCGTGTGACTTGCTTTTGATTGCCAGCAACTCAGGCTGCAGCAGTTTGCCAGGCAAGCTCTCCAGGCAGTAGAGGTGCGATTCCCTTCTCAATTTCTCTGGCACAGCAAGAGCAGAAAAGGGATTTGCTGTGGTGGTGGTGCTGCCATGGCATCCCCGTCCTGCGTGGGGCTGCGGCTGCCCAGGGAGGCTGCTGGGGCAGCGGGGGTAGGATGCACACCGCGTTGCATTGCCCCGGGGCTGGTACATGATGCAGAGGGGGCTGCAGTCTGGCCCTTGCAGAAGCACTGCTGATTTCAAACCTTGTAAACCCCAGTTCAGCACCTGAAAAATTATGGCCGGCTTAAGCAATCATAAGAATTTAAAATCCAATTTCGAGGAAGAGGCGCGGGTGCTCAGCATTTGCCTCCCAACGCTTTACCGCTTTTCAGTCTGCCCTGTGCAAGCTTTCCTCGCGGCCGCTGTGTCTGGGGACTTGAGCCTGGCTCTTAGGAAAGAAAAAACTAAACATCTTAAGGCCTCCAGGAAATTGAGCCCCTTCTCCACGTTGCCATCCCCCAGATTTTATCACAAGATGTAAGAAGGGGAATTTGAGAGTCCAGAGCTCGAAGGAAAGGCCTGAGCTCACATAAGGATGCGGGGTACCCTGCAGCTCTCCCCGGCCCCTCTCCTGCACCCCCTTGCCTGCAGGACGTCGTCTGGGGGCTGGCAGTGCTGCTTCTGCCCTGGCCCTGCTGCGCACAGACTCTCCGTGTCTTGCAGGCATGATAAGAACTGCTGCTATGTATCATATATTATGATATATGTTGGCAAACACACAGGAGGAGCTGGGTGCTGTATAAGCAGAGCACTGAAATTATGCAACAGGGAGTGATGCCCCATCCCTCCCTCCAGCCTTTTTTCCCTTGCTTTTGCTTTTGCTTTTGCAAAACAGGTCCTCAGTCACCTGAGCAGCGATCCTGACCTCAGCTCCGCTGCTTGCCGTAGCCTGGAAGCCAGGGCAGGGAGCAGGGATGGCAGAGCCTGGCAGGGAGGAGCATGCAGTCAGAGCTCTCCCATTACCATCCCGATTCTCCACTTTGGTTTTGCTTCGTTAGCTGCAATCAGTCTGTTAACAAGGTCATGGCAGCTTGTGGAAATACCAGGCCATTTTCCAAAGGCTGCTGTCACTTATTCCGGCGCTGGAGTGTCCACTCCTCGTGGAGGAGCCCAGCTCCCTGCATCACCTCCCCGGAGGCAGCCCTGCCCATCGCAGGGGAGGCGTGAGGACCGCGCATTGCTCCGTCCTGGCTAGCAGGGGGGTTCAGGCCCTACTGATGGGTGCCCGCAAGCCAGCAGGTTTGATGCTGAAGGCTGGAGGCATGCCTCGTGCTGCCGTTTTCTCCTCCGCTCGATGAGAGCTGATGCCCTCCCGCCGGCCGCCGTCTTTCAGATGCCGCGGCTCAGGCTGACATCCCGGGGGCGGCTGCAGTGCCTCTATCAGCAACGGCTCCGCAAGCCAGCAGGTTTGATGCTGAAGGCTGGAGGCATGCCTCGTGCTGCCGTTTTCTCCTCCGCTCGATGAGAGCTGATGCCCTCCCGCCGGCCGCCGTCTTTCAGATGCCGCGGCTCAGGCTGACATCCCGGGGGCGGCTGCAGTGCCTCTATCAGCAACGGCTC